GAAAAACAAGAAATAAATCACAACAAGAACAATAGTTTTTTTCTTGTAATCAAGAAAAAATATTTGACAAAATTTCAAAATGAATGCTGAATGATATTTGACAATGAACGCATCTCCACTGCATAGATGCATACAATCGTTGGTGTCAGTCACGAATATTAAGCATGTTTTAGGCTATAATGCATGGCGTGTGTGTTTCACAAGCTTCGTTCCTATGGACACCTTTTGTTTGATCTAATTCTGGATATTTCCAGCCCAAGATGTGTGATTAATCAGCCGATTAATCCGTATCTAAAGCCTTGTCTACACCAAGAGAACCCATTACGGGAAGTGGTGCGAGGCGACAAATCTTCTACAGTATACTTCTACAGTATGCCTCCTTCTATCCCGAATCTTTGAAACATGCGTTGTATGCGTTGAAAGTGAAACCTAAAAAAACAGCGTGCATAAGAAAGTGATTGCAGGCTTTCGCGAGCTTCAGCAGATGCACTCGATCACAGATTGAACGCTTCCCAGCCGAAACAAACCCCCACGTGAAATTGAAATAATAACCTGTGATATAAGATTTTGGCCATATTGCCCGTCTAAACTATTCATCCCACATTATCAAGAGGCGCATCATGTAGGCTACACTTCTTGTACTTCGTTTGAGCACCACAAGGTGTCACTGTGGCCTCAAAGCTTACCCCTCGCCTACTCTGGCTCGATTGCTATTCCTCAGGTAAAACACGCCCTTCTCATTACCCTAAGGACAAAGAAATGTAGAAATAAATACATGTGAAAATAAATAAATGTAAAAATAAATACATGTAGAAATAAATAAATAAATACATAAATAAATACATAAATGTGAAAATAAATAAAAGTGGAAATAAATAAATGTATAAATAAATAAATGTGGAAAAAATAAAAAAATACATAAGGTAATAAAATTATAAATAATTTATTTTTGCTTTTTTACTTTTCTTTGTATATTTATTTATATTAGCTTTTTAAAATTTCTTTGTACATTTATTTATTTATTTATAATTATGGCAGGATTGGCATTCCATACAAAGCAACTTTACAGAAAATTAAGTTTCTATAATATTTAGTAGTAGCTTATCAGTGGTGACTGTCAGTTTATGTACATATGGCAGAAATGTATGGGGAAATCAATTAAAGACGTAATCAAACAGACGATGAACACTATTAACAGCAATTATTATATGATGCAATCAAACTAATAGCAAAATTTGGTAGTTCTGTATGTTGTTTCAGGGTTGGCATCATCTGAGGTCCTCTGAGGGGTTGGCATCATATCTTCTCAGGTGTTCTGGATCCAGACTGAAGCTTGTGCAAATCCTAGCCCGTGGCAAAAACAGAGAAACAAATAGAGACATAATTAGCGTAGCTGCTGTTCCAACCAAGCCAACTTGATTTATTTAACCTAAGCTAAAGAATAATAATGCACATTTGATCAGATATAACTGGAGTACAAGATTATGAGATGCATTATTTGAATGCTTGGCCAAAGAGATGTGTCTTTTTGTGATACGCAACGACTTCAGGAGTGTGTATTTTGAAATAGGTGTTACTCTGCCAAAATCCCACATTCACAACGTCTTTGAGCCGGTAAATGTTATTGGAGTCAATAATAGGTAAACTGAGGAGAAAGGCCAAGTCGCCTACTTCTGGGTCTACGTATAAGGGGATAGCGCTGCCCAGGGACTGAGTTGTGAAGTTCAGAATCAGCAGCGATCAGTCCATGTTCAGACTCTGGGTCTGATAATTCCTTTATGATGGCTTGTTTAAGCTGCTGGTGAGGCCACTCTCAGGATCAGTTCCTTTGATGTCCTCAGGATCTCTGCAGTATTTAGGTTGCCAGATGTATTGTCTCTGGCCAGCTCGTTGGGGTCTGTGGGGTCACACGGTGTGTGTGTCTGCAGTGATCCTCTGGAAAGGTCCCTGCCCCACCCCCTTGTGGCTGCTGGTTGGTGACGTGTGAACAGTGGGCTCTCGCCCCCCCCCTCGCAGGTTCGGACTCTTGGCTGAGGGGATCTGGGCCTGCTTGCCAGGGGAAGTTCTGTGTCGTGTTTTCCCTGTCTGTTCACCTTGTGGTCTGCAAGCATATTTCAGTTCACTTGTGACATTGAATTCACCTTGGCTTCATTTGAGTTTACCCGATTGGTGTTTGGAGCTGTCTCGCTGCTGAGCTAGGACTTGGATTTCAGCTCGGGCTGCTCGGGTCATAGGCGTTAACTCAAGTGTCTTTCTCATTAAGTTCCATATACACTGTTTTTAACAGTGATTTTGTGTGAAACAGTTCTCTTTCCAAGTCCTGTCTGGTGGCTTTTTCAAGCTGCTCTCTGTGTTCAGCAGCTGTTAGTGCCTCCTGAAGACTGGTGATTTCCTTCTGTTGCACCATTCTGTGAAGGTTCCTTGCATCCGTTCTGTGCCTTCTCTCGTTGAGCAGGTGTCAGTTCCCTGTAGAATTCTGTGACTTGCAGGTTCAGTTCATTTACCTCCTGTCTGAGGCCCTTGAGGGTGTGGGCCAAGGAGAGGATGATGCTGGTCAGATCCTGGTGGTTCAGGCTGGGTGTCAGGTGTACCTCCTGTTTCAGACCCATGAGGTTGTTGGCCAGGAAGATGATGATCTTGGTGAGCTCTTTGTAGCCATAACTCTCGCTTGAGTCATGAGTCAGTAGTACTCTTCCCTCGGTGTCCAGTTGCTTTCGGCTCTGGTGCAGTAGGTTATCGGCAGCCCTGGGTAGAAGGGTGTTCCTAACAACGCCTGGCCAGTCCTTTTGGTCTGCCATCTGGGCAGTTAGACTGAGCATCTGCAACATTTTGGCAAACTCGTGTTGAGAGTAAGGGCTAGAGACTAATACAAGATCAAACTATAGTGATTAGCGTTCCCTTTGGTTGGGCACTTTGAACTTAGCTTACGTTACTATAGTTTCCTTTCTGTTAAGGCAATAATGCATTGTGAAGTCAGACTTATTTGAATTCAAGAGAAGAAAAGTACTAAATAAGTTACTTTTAGAAGGTAATCTATTTTCTAATTAAAGCATTAGTGCATTTATTGTGTGTGTTTATTAAAGAACGTTATCAAATTTATAATTTCATAAATATCTTGAGATGATTTTAATTGGGTTTATATAATCCTTCAATAGTGTGTGGTAATATGCTAAAGTCACACACAGACTTAAACATTCAGCATCCTGTGACAAGTCATTGTCATGGTAACCAATGCATGCCAGTGCAATTCAAGCAGTTTAGTGTCTGCCTATTTCAAAGAAGTTGCCCACAGTTTTAAAACGTGGTGCTTTCAGTCCTTCAAGACTTGTGGCATTAAATAAGCACTTCAGTGAGTGCTTCTCTAATTTAAAAATAAACTTCTTGCACTTGTTTAAATAATAACAAAACAGGTTTACTGTAAGTTAAAGCTGGTTTAAGCATATATGTAGTTATGTGTGCCTCACACATGAATACTGACATACAGTATTACACCTTTAATTTCACTCAGCGAGTGAAACACAGTAATGACCACCAGGTTGCTAGGCTTGTATATATACAGTCAAAGTGTAGATGAATTGCATCAATCTAATTATAATCTATAAGGCCTTTATGCTGGTAAACTATAATAACTAAGCATTTGTCAGTACAACATACTATTCCTATTTCACTTTACTTAGTTTTTTCAAGGCAATCGGTTTGCATGCTTTTTTTAAGTAAGCCCAACTAATTAGATTTTACAGTGCAACAGGCTCAATCTCTGAGGAAGTGAAGTAGAGGACGGACAAGGAAGATGGAGAGCATTCCTATTCAGATTATGCTTATTACTTGGTGCTCAGGACTATAGTTATGCCCTAGTATTTGTCTAGATGACTTGTGTAACAGGGTCATAAAATTAGAGCACATGTTGAAATAAAAACAAATCAAAAATAGAAGTGTCTCTGGTTCCTTTTGAGGTTCAGAAAGAACATCAAAACAAAGTGGAACAAAAGGGGGTATACCATGTAAATGGATTTAAAATTAGCTGACTGCTATTATTAAAACAGGGTAATCAATCTGGTATTAGGAACAATCAGTAGCACTCGTGATTAACTGTAAGATTTGTGTTGGGCAACACACCATGTCTGGTCACAGCCGCTGCGTGTTCAGTTTGCCATGTGTGTGCCCCGCCCTCCGTAGCGCGTTATTCACTGTGCCACTAAAAACACCCAATAACTTAATGATTCTTCTCTAGATAGACAGTTAAAATGTACACTGATACCATTAAGCATGAAATACATAAAGACCTATTTGTTAAATATAACTAACAAAAAATATATTGTGTGTCTGATTGGTCCAGACGCTACAACGTATAAGGGAATAGCACTGCCCAGGGAAAAGGCGAGATGGGTTTGGATGGGACGCATCAAGTAGTGCGGAATCCTACCCATGGCTAAGTTATCAATCGAGGAGCTTACTTCTCATAGCATGTCGGCCATGAGGGTAGTTAGGAGTTGTATTTGAGCTAAATCATTTTGTACGACCGAAAATAGTTTGTTGATGGATTTGATGGTCTGGTTTAGAAGGGTGCTATGGGTATTTAGAATTGTGACGGTGCCGTTCACTGACTTCCCGAAGGTCTGTAGGGCGTGGCTCTGGACTAAGAGCGGCTGTCGTATCTCAGGCATTTCAGCCTGGATTTTGCCCACATGCCGCCTCACGGTGGCCAGATTCACGGCATTAGTGGTGTTCATGCCAAAGTTAAACAGAGTTCCTACAGCCGCAGCAGCCCCCAGCAGGGCGCCCAAAAATCATTTGGGACGCCGGTTGTACCCGCTTAATTCAACCTGGGTTACAGTCATTTTCTGTAATTGGGGCAGCATGTGGTTCACATCTGCCTGGGTGTGGGCGAGGACTTCTCAAGTCCAACGGGCGCCGGCCCAAGTGGTTTGAGCAGCTAAGAGGATGTAGTGAGCTCTGAAAACATCACGGGGATCAAGTCGGACGTACACCTTTTGGGTGTAGGTTTTGCAGTTCGTTATCAATAACCCCGGATGTTCATGGAGTACGATTCCCGACGCTGGTCCTGGAGATGCAACTTCTGGCTGGGGCATAACCCCAATTACACAGAGGATCAAAACGGCGAGTCCGAACATCTTCCTGGTAATAAGAACAGAAAGAAGGAACAATTAGCTGCGAAGATCATGGTTTGGCGGGGTCGCCTTGATCGGTTGGCAACGGCTTTTCACAATGATTTACGATTTTACGACTAGAGGGGAAAGGAATTTATAGTGAGAGAGGAAAAAGGAAAAGCACAAAGAGACACAAGGACACCAAAGGAGGTGAGACAGCAAAACGAGTGCAACACGAGTGTCACATGTGTGGAGCAACTCCTCTCTACTAGAGGTTGGTCATAGCAGTGCAGCGGAGGAGAGTGTGCAGGTGTTGTGTTTAAGGAAGGTAGCTATATGGTTTTCCTAGAATGACAGAAATTATGTTAGTGTGGTGTAGAGTATGGGATTGCGGTCTGTGTCAGTGGGTTTGATTTTCCCCCTTTTCCTGTCGGTTGGAGCCCCGGTGCCTCTTTATCTGGTTTCGATGGACCAATCGAAGGACTGGCTCGCTGTGCCCTTGTCTGATTTTGATTCGGTACACAGTAAAATCCTCAGTGTTAAATTAAGGCCCTGTCCACACGGAGATGCGTTTAGCTGTATATGCATACATTTTTTATCATATAGGCGTTTTGTCCACACAGATCCGGCGTTTTGGGAGAGAGAAACCGATATTTTTTTAAACCGGGTCCCAGAGTGGATAAATCTGAAAACACCGTCCTTGCGTTTTCATGTGGACAACAAATCCGTATATTTTCTGAAACGATGACGTCATCAGCTCACGTCTCACCCCTACGTCACGTATCAGCAACAAAAACATGAACAAACACTGAACGATTGTCTTTTTATTAACTAACATTAACACATTAATAAATGTATTGTTCCATGTTCGTTTGTATACCGCACGCAAGGTTTATGCGCATAGTCCAAGTCTTCTTCTCCGTTTTTATCTTCATCTCTGTGGCAGAATTACAGCGCCACATACTGGTCTGGTATGTATACGACATCGTTTTGTGTCGGTTTTGTGGTTTCGTGTGGATGCAGATATTTATTGAGACGAGGGGAAAAAAAAGATCGGATAGGGAAATCTCTGGCTTCGTGTGGACGCAGCCTAAGACTGTGGCTGAAGTCAGTTTTAGTTCTTGTGTTTCTCTTTTCTTCAGTGATTGTGCTTGTTAACAGCAGGTGTTCATCACTAATGCTCAATCAGCACTTAATTAATCACACAATTATCTCATTAACTTTCTTGTAGAGTGGGACCATATATGCTCCGAGCAGTGTTAATTTAACACTCAGGATTTTACTGTGTAGGCAACAGGTGAGAGCTTGTCCACAATCTCGTGGGGTCCTGTCCAGTGAGGTAGGAATTTCTTTGACAGGTGATGTGGAGCGTTCTGCCTTGGTTGGGCTTCTGTAGTACCACACTTTGTCTCCGACATTGAGTTCCTGGTAAGAGGCCTTTTGGTCATAGTAGGCTTTACGACTTTCCACACTTCTTTGGAGTTGTTGTTGCGCGAAGGTGAAAGTCGTTCTCAGGTGCTGATGCAACTCTTCCAGGTACTGGTGGGTGGTGTAGGCTGTGACGAGTTTCATGTCGCCAGGTTGGTACAGCAGGTGTAATGGTAGTATCATTTGTTGCCCCGTCATCATTTCGAACGGGGGTACTCCGGTGGACCGGTGAGGAGTGGCCCTGACGGCCATCAGTACCAGAGGAAGCTTAATATCCCAATCCTTTTATTGGGATAAAAGCTTAATATAATAAAAGCTAAATAAAAGCTTAATATCCCAAACAAACTGACAAAGGAGATCAGAGTGGCTAAAAAAACTACTCAGAAGAGCTGAGAAAAGAGCTTTCAGCAAACGATCCAGCGTCAGTATGGACTGGTCTGAGGAACATCACCATGTACAAGACACCACCCCCACAGTCTGCGGAGAATCAACAACTGGCTGACGATCTGAATGTTTTTTACTGCAGATTTGAAAAGGATAGTCTACCACCCCCCATCCGCTCTGATCTGCACTTCACACCTTCACCTACCACCCCTGCAATTTGGAGTTGTTGTTGCGCGAAGGCGAAAGTCGTTCTCAGGTGCTGATGCAACTCTTCCAGGTACTGGTGGGTGGTGTAGGCTGTGACGAGTTTCATGTCGCCAGGTTGGTACAGCAGGTGTAATGGTAGTATCATTTGTCGCCCCGTCATCATTTCGAACGGGGGTACTCCGGTGGACCGGTGAGGAGTGGCCCTGACGGCCATCAGTACCAGAGGAAGCTTAATATCCCAATCCTTTTGATTGGCGGACACATACTTCTTCAA